ACCTTTATTCATTTCTAGTTATAAGTACCATCTGCACTATGATTGTATTGTATATTATTTGCAGATTATTGAAAAAACTTTACTGCCAATATATTCATCTGTTACGGTATTTCAAAGAAGATTTTTACATATATCTTTTAGTTCAACTTTGTAATCTTATCTATAACGCTAACCAGCACTAACAGCTTCTCCAGCATTGCCTGCAACTCTGGTAATGTTTGGAGTTAGTAGGCAGACCGGTAAATAGTATTCCTTTTGTTTAGATTTATTTCATTGACAGGCACATTATAGTATATACTGTCTGAATCTCAAAGATTACGGTTTAGGCGATACACATATATATATGTATTAAGGCAATTTGGCCTGTATTTGTGGGAGGTGCTTGGTATCCTCTCCTAGCCTACTTAAGGCACACCCCTTACCTTGCTCCTTACCGTTCGAGGTCAGCGTTGAATGAGGATCCACTTCCGGGTTCTCTCAGACGCCATTTTGGTTTTTCACTGTCCACGAGTTATCCGCGGCAAGCTGTGTCCAGGAATCCTGTTTCAGGCCTTTCTGTCCGTCCAGCTTCTTCTGACCCCGGTCATCGTCGTAGATCGCGTCCCAGGGACTCCTAAACCGTAAGTTAGACCTACCTGTCACGCCAGGATCGGTTCCCATGGTGTCCGGTACAGCACGGGTCCTCGCTTTACGGTTTTTCCCTGTTATGTCGCAAAAAACATATTTTCAAATTGCAAATTGAACAAGCCGTTCACGGTTTCATTTCGTGCGGTATTCGGCTAATCAGTAAATTAGTAAAGGTTGTCATTTCGCTTAAAACTGTTCCGTGTTACAGTTAAACAAGTTATCCTTTCGGTTATTTGGCCGTTCGGCACTTGTTCATGATATGCTTAAACACACTTGCATGTTCGCATAAGATTTCAAGCGTATAAACTGTTCGGTTCAGCTTCTGTTTCCCTTGCCATAGTGTTTCAGATTTTCTTGCTAATGTATTACGCATAAATCCTTTCGTGGATTACATTCATCATTTCAAGTATATACCATTCGGTTATTCTTTACTTAAATAGATATAGATTAATTTTATTACTGTTTAAAGGTGTCAGTATTATATTGGTTTCCATACAAAACCAGCTCACATATCTGTATGGATCATTTTGACTCCCACGCTTTCATGGGTTTTCCATACTTATCCATTTTAGTCAAGTTGGTTCAGCCTACAATTACAGGCCTCATTTCTGTGTTTTAAACTACGACACAACATATACTTAAGGATACAGTTTCCTTTTCCAAGTAATGAATTCTCGGGTTGAATCACACGTACTGATCCAACCAATCATACGTCTTTTACATTACAGTAATATTATATACAACTTTACATCACTTTAAAGTTTTGTTTTATCCCTGCCCCTTTGTTGTTATCAATTACATATCAACATAACGCTTTTTACATATAGGCCACGGCCTCCCCCACCCCATCCTCTTTTTCACTTGACACCCATCATAACCCCCCCCAACCCCCAGGTTGTAGCCAGAATTTTGTCATTAAAGATACGGAATCACTTGGCCTTCGTAACACATTTATATTGTCATGGTATATCACTACACTTCATTTACCAATTAAAACTCCACATATCACTGGTACGGGCTACGCAGTCTACATCATTCCCACACAGTCCACACTCACTATATTACCCTTTTTACCCATTTCAGGCTATCCAGGTTTATATATATTTCACCACACGAATTCGCTGTGAGATATTCATACTACCAGGTACGTACGCCTGCTCATATGGTATTCTGCCATACATTTCATTTCTCCCCCCTAGGTTAGAGTACTGGCAATAGGGTCACAGGCTCCCCAATAGGTATTTACCCCTTCTTGGTATTTGCCATCAGTTAGTGGTCCCGCGAGGCCAACACCCCGCCTCAACGTTGTGGAGGCAAACACCCATCGGGCCACACGTGAGTTAGTCGCCTCGCATGTCGCATAGAGAGGGCCTCACCTGTCACTCCCTTTCCCTTTTTTTCTGTGTTACAGTCACCAAGAGGCCTACAATC